GAGATCTAGACTGATCATCAAAACTTATGATATTTCTGACAACTGCAAAAGTTGAACTGCCAACAGGCTAGATGGGTCACTGAGCTCAGCCAATACCAGTACACACTCTATCACAAAGCCGGCATGGCAAACAAAAAGGCTGATCTCTTGAGCCAACAGGCAGATCATGATCAGGGGGAAACCAATAACAAGAGAGTGACACTTCTTTGGCCTGAACATTTCAGGGCTATGATAATACCAACAGAAGAAGAAATCCATGAATGCATTAAAAGTGCCACTCAGAACAACTATAAGTGAAACCAGCAGGTGGCTCCATCACTCAATCATGAGTGAGGCATGATGAAGGAGGGAGGGCTGATCTGCTATGATGGGCAGATCTATATCCCACAGGACCAAGGACTACATGGTGAGATTATAGCCATGTATCACAATCATGCCATGGCTGGCCATCCTGGCATAGCCAAAACAAAGAAACTAGTGTTATGAGAATACTGGTGGCCTAAAATGGGAAATGATATTACCATATATGTCAAAGCATGCAAAGTTTGCCAACATGACAAATCATCAACCCAGGCCCAAGCTGCACTGCTCCATCCCAACAAGGTCCTATCATTCTCATGGACCCATATCTCTGTCAACATGATCACCAGGCTACCAGATTGCAATGGTTATGATGCTATCATCATTATAGTTGATTGATTCTCTAAAGTGATCATTCCAATCACCTGCTCAACTGAACTAACCTCTAAAGGGTGGGCAAAAATTCTATGCAATGAGGTTTATGCCAAATATGATATGCCACAGATCATTATCTCAGACAGGGGACTGCAATTTGTCTCAAAGTTCCTAAACAACCTCTATCACCTTCTAAACATCAAACACAATGCCTCAACCACCTATCATCCTCAAACAGACAGACAGACAGAACAGGCAAATCAAGAGATGGAGAAATATCTTTGCCTTTTCATTAATTATTGACAAGATGACTGGGTGGAATGGCTTGCTCTCGCTGCCTTCCAACACAATAACTGTATACACTCAGCGACTGGGAAGACACCATTTTTTATCAATTACAGATGCCACCCACATGTCACCCAAACCAAATGATACCAAACAACTACCCCTGCCTCAATGGACTTTGCCACCACAATGGCAAAGATCCACAATGAAACCAAAGCAGCATTAGAAAAAGCTGCCACATCTATGAAAAACCAATACAATAAGCACTGATGAGTGGCATATGACTATTCAGTCAATGACAAAGTGTGGCTGGACACCACCAACCTCTATTTACGATGACTGAAATGCAAGCTGGCAGATAAATATACCAGTCCCTTTTCCATACTCTCAAAAATTGAGGCAAGTGCTTACAAATTGCACCTCCCACTCTCTTGGAAGATCCATAATGTTTTCAATGAAACATTATTAACCCCTTATATTGCACCAGCATTTTCAAACCAGGAACAACTGCCACCCCCCCTGCCAGACCTTATTGATGATGAAGAAAACTACAAAATCGACCAGGTCTTGAACTATAGGCTATGAAAAATAAGAGCCACAGGGAGTGGCATGACAACAATGGTTGATTACCTGATCAGTTGGAAGGATTATGGACCAGAATCCAACCAATGGATAAACAAGAAACAAATGAATGCTGACAATGCTATACAAAACTATGAATTATCCCTTAATTAAGCTGTCAGGATGATGGTCTTAAGGAGGGGGTAATGTTATGATTTTCTACCTATTTGCTTTCTTTTAACCCCTATTTATGCTTAGTCAGAGCATCAAGACAGGTGCTTAAGATCGTGAGACAAAAGGCTTAGTCATCATAACTGACCAAGTCTGTCATTGTCTTTCAATGCAACAACATTGCCTGACGATGCAACCAGCCTTTTATGTATGGTAACAATGCTCTAGGATAATGAGCACAAAAGACAGAGATACATAATAAGTACATAGTATTATTAGTAGGCCTTGTACAGTATTTAAGGAGCTCACTCTCACTGGTAAATCCCCAGCTTCAAGCTAAAGTTTATACATTCTCATTCTACTCTTGTGCTAATCACACAACACCTTGAAGCACAGGGAATCAACATATAACACATAAAGTGAACCCTAACAGAAGGCTCAAACATGAAGCCATGTTAGCTTATCACATGTTAGTTGATCACATGTGGCTTGAGCCTAACACTATACTCCTTTAGACTCTCTGTATCCCTGAGAATTAGAGTGACAACTGGGCTATACCATAACTTTTTTCACTCATGAGAACCAATGAGGCCAGCAATAGTGCCATTAAGTGAATTGAGGTCATTTATACTCAGCTGCATTGGCATTCTGTGGTACCAGATCTGAATTCATAGATCACCCCCTTGTCTACTGATCCTTTGACAGACAAGCTGATCCAAACTAAAGTAGTGTTAGATCCAAAGCACACATGACCTAAACATGTGATAAACAGGTGCTGTATCATGTTCATACAGTCACACCTGAGTTCACTATATGTGCTATGTGGATGAGGTGCTTCAAGGCCAAAGACAAGTCAGCTCAAGAGAGAATGGTGTAGAATAAACTTTAGCTCAAAGCTGAGTATCTATGGTGAGAGCTATGCTACTTATATATGGCTTTATCATAGCTAAATATAGTCATACTAATTGTATGCTCCTGCATCCTAACCCTTGTCACCTCTGGTTGTCAGAGTCAGCACAATGGGGTATTGTCTGCTGTCAAGACATCTGTCACTGTCTTGCAGGACAATGGTGTAAATGTACTCATTGTGATTGTGTAATCATCCCATGCTCATCTATAAGTGCCCATGATTAGATAGATGCCAAGATAAGATAAGAAAAATAGGAAAAATTGTAACAGGTAGTGGTCCAGCAGTGGTATACAGTCCACCATCCTTCCATTGTTTCTGTCCTGGCATATGAATGAGAGAGGAAATGGTGTAGGATCTGACCCTTATATCTCTATTTTCAGTCTGTGAAATGGAAATGACATAAAGACATATTATTTTGGTGAAATAGGAGACCTTGAATACTGCTCTGCACTGTGTTCCCATGTATTACTTCCCTGTTGATTTCAGATAACAATCAGTGTATTGGTGCAGAAGATGTTGGGCCTGTGTGGAATGAAATGCAAAGGACTGGATTCATGAGTTTCAGTAGTTCATTGGCAGGAAAATATTGGATGGGATGTATGGAGTGTATGAATGTCTGGCTGCACCACAATGCACCACACTCACAGACCATGATGGGTTCAGAGGATGGTTTTGTAAAGCCTTGGCGGTAAGATACCCAAACCATCCCAGCCAGAAATGCTATGGTGTCCTGACATGCCATGGGATCCATAATATATGAATGATGTTGAGAGTTTATAGGGGTAGTTTCAATGAGCAGGATAGTCAATGTGGGTAAATGGCTGTTTCATGTGATGAGCCATAGTGAGTGGATTGTTCCATCCTGATTACAGTCTTAAAACATGCCATGCACTGAAATCAGGACACAGGAGTATCTGCAAGATTTGCTGCTGTTTGCTCTGTCGGGATCTCCCCGACCATAATAAAAACAATAATCTGTGCATGAACCCACCAGTGTACAGCTGGTATCCCAACCACATTCACCAGGCTGCGCCGGTGAGTACTGGGAAGGAAGTGATGCAGGCCCAGAACACAATGGACAGTCAGCCTGCAGCTTTGCCACTGCCTGCTGGTGACACTGGCCTTGGTGTTTCTAGGACAGCTTGATATATTTCACTTTTTGTGGATCTTTCAGGGCTGATCACCAAGCATATGCGGTGCCCGTGCGGGTCCGCCGAGTGTACTTTTTATGCATACATTCAAAATGACGGGATTATTCCTGATGTAATTTATTATTCATACAACATGTCATCGTTATGCTTGAAAAATTTTTCAAACAGCCAGCACAGAGAGACAGTAGGGATCGGAAAGTGCATCTTGTCCGCATTGGTCTTTTTCGGATATGTTCCTGAAATCTGAGGCAATTCTTCGCCTAAAATAAGACATGATCGAGGATCCCTATTTTTGGTGGATTTCTCGTTTAAAAGGGGCCGATACTTCCCTCGAGTCATCTCCAGCATTGACCACCACCATCGCTCTGGAGATGGACGCCTACCGGCATGTTGACTTCCAGCCTCTGCGGATCGAGGACGTCCCATCTTCGTCTCCTGGGGATCCATATCAGATACAGAGTCCAACCCAACCTTCAGTTCCTTCGTTTTCTCAGGGCTCCGACTTCCGTTCCGTGCATAATTAGATGGTGCTGTCTGTCCTGCTTTGCAACACATAAATATAGACACTGGGAGTACCCCGGCCTTTTGCGAGCCTGAGCGCAGAGAGAAAGGGTAGAGAGCAGACTAAAATACGAAGGCGTACCAGCAGGGAAGACGACAACGTAACTCATTTTCACCCATCGAAAAAAGTGATTACATGAATTCGTTATTCACAGTTATACCGGTACATGGCTCTTAACCCTTCGTTCGCAAGAAGAACACGAGCGACTGCCTGCCTGAAGTCGTCTTCCCAAGGACGGCTATCTGAAAAAAAACAAAAAGTATCGTATTGTTCCTGGCATATCTGTCTCCGAGCTGGAACTAGAACTCTCCGATAGCTTGACCACATCTGCGGTATAGAAGTACCTGTGAATCTTAGGAACGGGTCGCTCTTTACCCTCGAAGTACACTTTCAAATCCCTCTTCCCAGCAGTTGACTGATCGGCGTATCGTTCCTTGCGAGACCTACCGCGGAGCTTAAGTTCGAAGCATTAGAAGCTCCCGACAGATCGTCGAATCTCGGCAGGAGTGGGCCCGGATCTCACATATAATCGCTTTAGAAACCAAAGAACAATAATCTCTACACATCTACCGATAAGCATACGGCGCCAGCCTCACATTCTCATCGTAGCTTGTCCTGGTCATAGGGTACTCGCCACCTGTTTCCATAGGTCAATTCTATCCCCCAAATGGTAATACTGTCACTGTTACGTGCCGGAATTGAGATTGTCATACGGCATATTGGGTGTTGGTCGAGCGCCGTTCAACCCGAACGCCTGCGCAAAGTCAGTCTGCGGGTAGAGCGGAACCATCAGCTGCGGATAATTATCATACGAAAGCTAGGCAGCGTACCTTGTCTTGGCGGGGTCCGTGCGCCCAGGGCTTGCCCGTAAAGTAGTCGATGAAGAATCGTAGAGACAGCGCGATCTCGTGGAAGAAATCAGCATAGTTTATCGAGTCCAAGATGGCCCGCCCTGCACCAGCGACTGGGGGTTTGTGGGTATATTCGGCTGGGGTGTAAGCCCAGAGCATGAGCGCCGAGAAAAACACCATCTGTAGAGTCGATCAGGGACTAAATTGAATGAAGGACTGTGGGTTACCTCGATGCAGATGGCAAGGGCGTTGAGCCCGTTGGCGATGTTGGCTGCAGTCCAATACTCTGTAGCGTGGATGACACGGCCTTCGAGCCAGCTGAAGACAAAGCTTTGGTACCAGGGAAGCATGACAATGAGCTTGATACACAGGAACTTGGCGAGTGGTCGACGACCAGCGAGCTCTTCCTTGGTGAGGCCGTAGAATAGGAGAAGACCGTACAACGAAATCCTGGATTCTCATGAGCATGAAAACAAATGCAGACGAAGATACGCACGATATGCTAAAAAAGTCCACAATCTCCATGTACGCATTCGCGTAGTGGAAATCGAACCCCTCGCTCTCGCATAGCACGTTGTACTTTTCACACACGATGCCCACGATGGAGCATAATGGCCGTATGATGACGTACTGGAGTACGGACCACTTGACGGTGTACATAAAGTATGGCTTCGTTGGACGGTAGCGCCAATAACAGAACGGGATGGGAAGCTTGCTCTTGTCCTTACGGGCAATGGCGTTCTCGGCAGAATGGGCCGACGCTGTGGCGGCAACATATTCGATGAGGAGGAGTATAAAGGCGGAGAGGGTGACAGCTTCGTAGGCGACTTCAATGAGAGAGTAGTAGGTATATGATCGGAAGAAGCGGTACGAGAAGAAGGAAATGATAGCGTAGACGGCGGGCATGTAGATGATTCTCAAGCTGCAGACAGGTCAGGACGGGTATTAACAGTCAAAGGATACGCACATTTGTCGTTGTTCGTTAGGCATCGAATAATGCTTTGCATGCTTCATCGCCGTCACCAGCGTGATGATCAGTGTCTGCAGCAAAATCATTATTAAAAAAAAGGTCAGAATACAGGGAATCGAATGCACCAGAACGCTGCAACCCCCAGCTATGGCCCATCCTATCCTATGAGCGTCCCAATTCACTCCATTCGGGCTCCAAAACGAAGACTGGTCGACGGCGTCCTGATTATCTGAAGCGCAACCCATACACAAATTCGTCGGATGTGGATATCGTGACGGTTTCCAGTAATGTTTCTGGCGTAGTCGTGGCTGCCTGCAGACGTAGATGAAAGAGGGTGATGAAAGGAAAAAACGATGCTGCGGTTAGGATAACAAGCGCCCGGGAGCTCGCTGTTGGTGATGGTGATGACGTGAGGAGGGAAGCACGTGGCCGAAGAAAATACTTTCTCGGACTCCGGGCTTGCCTTGGCGTGAGAATGATGTCGTCGCTAGGGATTTGGATTACCTCCCTACTTACTCAGGGCCTACGCGCACGGAGAAAGTGTCATCAAACAATGAAGTATCGACATCCCCGCCAAAAATACTGGAGTTTACCCTGATTTTCTGGTGCTGGGGTAAACGTTGACGCGCCTGAAAATTAGTGCTTGCTTAGGACTTTGGGAATCTGTTCAGGCCCTGGGAAGCGACGCCGGCAGGCGTGATTTTATGAATGCAAACCTGAAAAAGTTGGTGACTGAATCCGTCAGTTGAAGAATAATCAGAAAAGTCCGGTGTTGTATGGAACGCGAGGAATTGAATGTACGAGTCGTGTAAAGGCCAATGGATGCACACCCTTCTCGCTCACAAAGACTTGAAGGTTATCAACTATGGATCTCCTTCCGGAGCCGCTCCACGAAAACAGGAAGGTCACTGCGTTCCGTGTTACGTGTCGCTTCCTACACAGCGGACGGTATTAATATATATTACTACCATTTACACTATGGTTGCTCACAAAGAACGGCGGGATCTCTAGCCGAGACGAACAGCAATACCTTATGCTAGCACCTAGAGATCTAAGCACCAGATCCGCATCATGTCCAACAGCTTCGGTTTGAACGTCGCCCCTGATGCATATAGATAGATAAGCAACGTGCGCTTGGACTGATCCCACACATTAGTCCAAGAGAAATGCTAACGTTCGAAGATTGACCGTACGCCACAGTCCAACGCATTCTTTCACCGGTTGGTATATGGGTCGAACTAGACCCAATATATAACTGTCTAGCATTTCCTTCGGCGTCCTGACAAATGCATACGCCGGACTGATATCAAAGCTCTCTTGCTCCCGACCCCAATACAAAGGCCACCGTCATCCCATGGAAATTGATCCTTAGCGTTTCGAAGATAAGCAGAAACCGTAAACCCCTTTGTTGGAACAGGCGTTGCCTTTAAAGGACGTGGTCTAGGTTAAGCTTTGCCGAGTACTTTGATTCCCTTGTAATCATGATTAGTAGGCTTACTTCTGGACAGCAGCAGGAGTATACTGTAGAAAATCTGCGCCATAGCATACCTATTCTCTTTCTGTTTGAAATCTCTCACTGTTATGCATCGATCGATGAGAGGCAGTCATCGTTATCATGGCTACTTGTCAGTGATGACTGATAAGGGGGGAAAAAAGAAGAATGACAAGAGTTTCTCACCACCGTACCCAACGCGCGATTCTCCCTAAATTGTACAATGGCCTTATTATAACCGACAGATCTATTAAGGACTCTCTTGCCTCCGCTACCGGTCGGCTGCGATCGCACACCACACCAGGTACCAAAGTCATGGATCGTGAAGCCACGGTCTTTCGGCAGTGGCATACAAATATCCATCCACCATCGACTCACCTGAGGATCCGGTAAACACCTAAACCTTACCCTCGCCCCATAGCGCCCGTGTCTCTGACATACTGCCCAACAAACACGTTCGGGAACATCGGCGGAGCGTAAGCTGAGAAGGAACCCAACGATTCGTGGTAGATGGCGATATCGGTAGTCTGTCCGAATATGAGAATGCTGACAATAACAACATTAGAATCGATGAATCACTGTCTTTCGCGCCAAAAGACTTCTTGCAGCCTTCGTGTGGACATTTAAGAGCTAGGGAACTATGAGCACTAGAGCGGAAGGGAGAAAAGGTCGAGCGCATGCTTCTCGCCCAAATGTAGACTTTTCACATGTCTCTTCAGATGTGGGACCTAATACATGATCGGAGTGCGGATCCAGTGAGATAGATGGTGCCACGGGAGAATCTAAGGGACGGTCCCGGAGAAATGGTGAAGTGAGGCCAGAAATAAAGGGCGAGTCCGCCGTTGGTAGGATGTAAGAGCCAGTTTGAAAAACTTTTCAAGCATAACGATGACACGTTGTACGAATAATAAATTACATCATGAATAATCTTGTCGTTTTGAATGTGTGCATATAAGTACACTTGGCGGACCCGCACGAGCACCACATATGACCACATATGCTTGGCTATCCGCCCTTCAAGATTCACAAAAAGTGAAATATATCAAGCCATCCTAGAAACGCCAAGGACAGTGTCACCAGCAGGCAGCGGCGAAACTACAGGCTGACTGTCCACTGTGTTCTGGGCCTGCATCGCTTCCTTCCCGGTACTCACCGGCGCAGCCTGGTGAATGTGGTTGGGATACCAGCTGTACACTGGTGGGTTCATGCACAGATTATTGTTTGTATTATGGTCGGGGAGACCCCGACGGAGCGAACAGCAGCGAATCTTTGCAGACACTCCTGTGTCCCGATTTCAGTGCATGGCATGTTTTAAGACTGTAATCGAGATGGAACAATCCACTCACTATGGCTCATCACATGAAACAGACATTTACCCACATATATAAATACAGGATGTCACAGTAAACAACCCACATTGACTATCCCGCTCATTGGAACTACCCCTATAGAATACCAACATCATTCACATATTCTGGATGCCATGGCACCTCCAGATGCCACGACACTTCTGGCCATGATGGCATGGGTATTTAGCTGCCATGGCTGCAAGACTCCGTCCCCTGAACCCATCACAGTCTGTGAGTGTGGTGCATTGTGGTGCAGCCAGGCATGCATACACTCTGTATGTCCCATCCAATATTTTCCTGTGAATGAACTACTGAAACTGACAAATCTAGTCTTTTCAATTCCATTACACACATGCCCCACATCTTGAGCACCGATTCACCGATTGTTACCCGAGAATCAACCAGGAAAAAATATATCCAAATCCAGCACAGAGGATTATTCAAGGTCTCCTATTTCACCTAAATGGTATGTCTTCATGTCATTCCTATTTTCACAGACTCAAAGAGTCATAAGGGTCAGACCCTATACCAGTTCCTCTCCTGTTCATACACCAGTATGGAAACAATGGCAGGATAGTGGACTGCATACTGCTGCTGGACCACTACTTTCATTGGGATCAGCTTGCCTGTCAAAGGGTCTGTGGAGAAGGCAATCTGCCAGTTCAGATTTGGTACCACAGAATGCAAATGCTACCAGGCATCAATGACCCCAATTCACTTAATGGCACCATTGCTGGCCTCATTGGTTCTCAGGACCAAAGAAAGTTATGGTATGGCCCAATCATCACTCTAATTCTCAGGGATGCAGGGAGTCTAAAGGAATATAGAGATGTAGAAGGGCATCATTTGAATGTTCTCAGAAGATTGTTCCAAGTATGACCAGTCCCTACTGCATTCCTTGAGTGGGACATTATTTTGACTATTTAATATTCAGCAGCTAGTCTCTATATGTAATGGACATTGTTTCTGTTTAATGCATTCTGTGTGACATGAATCTGAGGAGGTGGTCATGCTGCAATCATTGTCTGGCATGCTGTCAGGATCAATGAACCAATGTCCAAGAATGGGATGTTGTAAATGTGCCTTAGAATGGCATCATAGATGCTGCAACCCAACAGCTTTCTTTCAAAATAATGGCTTGTGACCATGATGCTTGGCCTGTTGCCTGGATTGATATCTATAATGATCCCATTTGTATTCATGTTCATGAACTAGAGGATTTGACCATTCATGCATATGATTTGAAGACAGGCATATGCATATTAGTATGCACTTATTTTTGTACTTTATTATTCTCTTTCTACTAGTTGTGTACAGGAAGACTTGTGACCCCAAGGCTCACAAAGGACCTGGTGTGTTTTTGTTCAGGAAGACAGCATTGCCATTGTTTGTGGCAACAGTGCCATGGAGGACATTCTAGCAAACCCCCTGAATAGCTCCTCCATCACAACCCCACCTTACCCAAAGCTTACTGCAGACATCCAGACATTCAAGGTATTAACAGACCTCATACCACATATAAGCCACTTTTTGCCATCATAGCTCTTTACTGCTGTAGCTATTCAACCAGTAGCAGACCTCCCATGCAGCTCAGGATCAACTTATTCACAAGCAAGCCACATGGACAATACATCAATACCAGCTCATTGAAATGGACTTTTCTCTTGTGCCTGAAGATGATAGTTACTAATGTCTTCTGTGTTTTCCTTGGTCATGGTTACAACTCTTCAGGAAGCAAGTCACTAAGATCACTGTATTAGTTTCAGAATAAATGATCAAAATAACTTGCATCTGGACCCATTTTCTATAATAAATATTCAACTTACAATCAGTGCTCAGCAATCTTCTATGTACATTCACTTTTCATCTTTTCACACTATTTCCTTATCCATACATGTACTATGCCATTCTGTTTTTCATGGAAGGATGCAGAACTTTCTGTTGTTCAAATTTATGGTTGTTATAGATCTAATATGTAACTGTCCAGCATATTCTTCAGTGTCCTGACATATGCATAGATTGGTTTGATATCAAGGTTCTGTTACTCCCAATCCCAAGACAAAGGCCACCATCATCCAATGGAAACTTATTCTTGGTGTTTGGAAATTGATTCTTGGTGTTTCAAGGATAAGGTGAAACTATAACCTCTGTTTGTTGAAAGAGATGTTGCCTTTAAAGGTCATAGTCTAGGTTAGGCTTTGCCAAGTACTTGGGTATGTTCTTTGACAGAAGATTGTCTTGCAAACATTGACTTTAATGTACCACAGTGTTTCCAGTCAAAATGATGTAAGGAAAGAGCCAGTTGAGGCAGAGTTGTTGAACTGGATTTCATGCTGCCTTTGTTTGCTCTGTTTCTTGATCCTCATAGCAGAGCACAAGCCAGTGCTCTCAGTCAGTGAGTGACACAAACAAAGTTTGGACCTCATATTGAATCAGATATATATTGGTGTCAATGCAAGATTCAATAGCAGTAATAATGTTTTTGTAGCTCAGACGTAAGTGAAGTTTCGTGAACAACTGCTCAAGTCTCAGTCACTCAGTTACTGGTTCATTCTGCACGAAAACAAAACATACTAAGATGCACCTATAGTAGCCAACGTAGGAATCGAACCCAAGACCTTCGATATTATACCACATTAGTGCAATACTTTGATCAACTGAGCTAGTTGGCCTAGTAACAGTTTGATCTGCGCTCCTTACTCCTTCCGACCCCCACTATGTACATTTGACCCCATGTGCGCTGGAATTATGATATTTCTAATCCGAAGAGGACGCTTTTCGCATTCATGTACATAATAACTCGACCACACAGGCTAGCTCTTATCCTCATGCAGACATAGACTTTATGTACACGCAAGGGGCCGGGCTTGGCCTGGCTTTGATGTTTGAGCCAAGCTCTGTAAATCGAGAGTCAGGCAGCAGGGGGCGAAGGAACTACCTTTCTGGGTTCACAAGATTTTTGAATATTCATTTGCTTAAGGAATCAGTCAATATCCGTTGTCCTTCTGCTGCACTGGCGGGTGCTTTCGATGGTAAAAAAAAAAAAGACTCCGCTAACTGTCGGCGGGCTCTTTCGTTGAGTACGAATATATGCCCAGTAGTCTAGAGATATCGTAGAATGCAGCTGAAGCTATCACTCAAGGACGTAAGGTGGAAATTACATCCTAGACAGTCCATCGAAGAAAACAAATTGTTCTATCTTCAGATGCGCAGACCACGGTACAGAAAGTAACGAACATGCCAAGCATCACGAGAAACCTCGCATCCGATCTCTGGGTCAAATGATTTCTTTAGCGCTCGTCGCATGTTCAGCAACGAAGACATTTCAATCGGAAAGTATTGATAAGAGTGAAGTCGTAAAGTAGCAAACCCCGGAGGAGAGACCCTCAAACAAGCTCCAAAGAGGCTGGATCCGTCTATTACAGCTGTGGGGAAGGAAGCGCCTCCCAGAGAGGTCTTCATCTTCGGGGATCAACCTGGTGATTCGTCACGCGTCTATTTCCACCCTTCGAAGAGTTACGCAACGGTACATCCTCACCGGGAGGGAAAACGGGACAACGCCAGTTCCATTTGGACTATGAAAGATAGAGACAGTGTCAGGTACGATCTTTGAAGCGTGGCTCTTCAGATGATCTTTTCTCTCAATTGGAAGAAGCCTTTGGTCGGAGGTTATTTCGTTAAGAACAGGCAAGGCGATCTGGGCCTGGTGACTTGGCGAAATTTTTTAGTGAATATGAACAGGTTGCCGTGCCCTATGACCTCTGGAAAATTCCCTGCCAACACGAAGATTTTTACGTTTCGATGTCTGTAACAGGGGAGGAGAACCTTGTACGGTGTGTCTCGTTTCTCCTCCGCACGAACGTATCTCACTTTCAACCCATTTCTTTTGAAAACGAGGCTTGGAGGATCGCGTTATCACTGAATTATAATCTTCAATCGGAACTTATGAAGGGGGGGAAGGCAACGAATCTGTGTAGCTAGTAGACTCAACAATGGTGGCACGCGAGTCTATATTCAAAGTTCATGCTCCTAATACGCTTGGCAGGGATTGACACGAGTGAAGCTGCGCAGTTTCAAACCCCGCATGCGAATCCTCGAGAAGACAAGATCCGGGAATTATGAATGTGGGAGAGGAGGTCCGAGAGGCGTACCGGAGAAGAGGTATGTCCAGCGCAGGCAGATTCGTGATGTAGACTGTATAGACTTTGTGTTTGCCAGTTGTGATGTGAGAAAGGACGTAGAAGTTCAACGCGCTAAAATAAAGAGTTCTGACAGCGGGAGTTGAACGTTGAATTGGACAGGAACGGATAATCCGGGTTACCTCAAGATGGCGTTTTTCAGAGTCAGACTTAAGTCCATGATCACCGCAAAGTAAGCCTCCTATGTACACCGCATCGAAGGAATCGTCATCTCTCCTGCTGTAAGGACCTCTCAGTTGTAAGGGCAGAAAGAAGCAGAGTAATGACCTCTGATCGGAGGCGGTTTCATTGACTCGGAGGATGGCGGCGAGAAGAGTTATTCAGTCGTAGGATAACAGTGGCGGTGATGTCCACAACTCGTTATGACTACGCGCTTCAGCGTACGTAGCGGTAGATGGATAAACGGATCAGATGCCGCCACATCACGGGGTAGATCGTCATCATTGTTGACTCGAAGGTATAAATAGTACCCGATAATCAGTCCGAGTCGCAATGGCATAAAGAAACGGGCGATATGAAGATAGAGTATCACAGACGCGGTCAAAACGGATAAATAGACATCAGAGCGCTGATCCGGATGTATGATTAGTGTGCGAGTCGCGTGGTTTAGAATGGGCTGCAGGAATGAGCGATATTAATGAAAGGAAGAATCGAGTCCAAGAGGCCAGTTCAATTGACGCGTCATCGGAATAGGACTAACTTTCCGTTCTCCTTTCGGGGCGAGCGAAAAGGCAGTTCTGACGGCTCGCCGGAGAGGAGACGTTTTTACCAACCCGATTACATTGCGACTATAGAAACAGGGCAAGGACTTGCGATTGGGAAAGCGATAGAGAGTCTGATACGAAGAGATTTGAATCGTAATTATGAGAGCTTGACGAGGGGTGCGAATGAATAGAACAGCCACGGTGATCTGTACCAAGGACCACGGGAAGGAGACTCGAAGGTACAGAAAGTGCTCCAGTCAGAAGTTCAAGGCGTAGAAAAGGCGGGGCGGGGCTTAAAGAAATGAGCGATATTAATGAAGAGCAGATGAACAAACGCTTGTCGCCCCACCATGTGTGGGGACCAGCAGAGAGTGGGGTAACTGTTGATGATGCCGTAGTACATTGTGCGTCCGGACACGGGCGAGCTGTATTATGAGAGGCGGGGTTGAAAAAAATGTTAAGAGAGATGGACTCAGAAATCTCCATCACAAGTCCAGATCTCATCTTTGACTCTTTGATACTAGCCCAATACGAAGATATCGCAGGATATGAGTAAGTGCCCAGACCCCGAATATGAATGCTCGTGGTTGAAACTAGAAGACGAGATCCGGTAATTTATGAACGTGGGAAATGAGCGTATCATTAACATACCGGGGGAGAGGGGTGATCAGAGTACATCTGGATGGGGAATCGGCTCTTCAATCGTGTTTTCATTTCCTTGCATTTCCGTTCTAGAAGGAACCCCGTCAACTTCCTAAGCTCTGAATTCTAACTGCGGGACAGGGAAAGAAGGAGACATACGGACCGGTGAGCGAGTGTTTGTCGTCTCCCGTTTATCAGTCAGATGTTATCCATGATATCTATACCGCGACGTGACCTTTTTTTACTGCATGTAGTTTTGGAGAACTAAATTCTTTGTTGATTCAAGCATAGTCGATGCTCCGATGTTCGACAAGTATCTATAGGGAACGATGAGCAAGGGGGGAACGAAATGGTATGAGGTAGTACGGTCCAACTCGCCGTTTGGTCACTTGATTCTCTGTGGTTCATAAATGGGAGTTTGGAAACCCCGGAATTCATTGTCGTTTCAAAGACCGCGAGCCAAGGAAATGGAATCAGAGAGAGGGGTGTTGAAGTGACATCTTCAACCGCAGATTGGGCCATGTGAAATGAAGCCGGTGTGTATTGATACGCCAAGTTGACGATCCCGAGAGGCCGACTGAATGGGAGAGGGACGATGGAGGCTAGAAGGAGGGCTGTCGTATGTGCTGCAACCCAACTGTAACTGCGGGAAAGAGAAGCAGGTTAAATGACCTCTGATCGGAGCGGGACCGTGTTATGCTGTGGCAGAACAACAGTGACGGTAACGTCTACAACTCATCCTGTTGTAGAGCTTCAGCGCGCATAGTAGCAGATATGAACGAATTTTCATAACGAGAAGGATAGATACAGCGTCATCGTCGTTGACTCAGATATAAATAGTTCCTGGTAATCAGTCCGAGTCACAAGTTCCATTGCTGGGTGATGCTGTAGAACTGGGGCCGCTCAACGAAATGAGCGAAATTAAAGAAGGGCCTACCAGCGCTTGTTCTTCCCGAGAAGCGTCAGTGCGCAATTATAGAGCCGGGTGACTGTTGATGATGCCATAGTGCATCATGCGCCATCAGATCTGAGAGACCGGGTTGAAAAAAAAAAAAACAATGTAAGGGGGGAGACCATTTATTTACTCGCAAATCTCCGCCACAGCTATATTTGGCACGTTAACACGGGTCCGAGTCGCAGCTACTGTAGAACCGCCAGGCAAGAGCGAGATAAATGATGGCCGATCGACGCGATGACGTTTCGAGGCTAGTTTGATGCGTTATCGGAGAGTCGCGAGGGCTAGATTGGGCCTTCAGGGAAGAACGGAGGATGATGAGAAAAAATAAGTAAGTATTGGTGATTGTTGAATTGATGCGTTATCGGATTCGGCCTGGGACGGATAAATATGATGTTATCCTAGAGTCAGGGACCAGAAGGATCCGACATCGTATAGGCTGGCGTAGCATCTCATTCATTCACTCGGAGGTATAAATGATGACCGGTGTTGAGTCCGGTTAAGCTATGGGACCTAATGACGAGCGTTATTAAGAAATTGAGATGGTCTACAAGAGCTTGTTATCCCGCGAGACATCATTGCACAGATTCTGACAGTGGAGAACAATTCATGATACTGAATTCGGATTCGGATTCGGATTCGGATTGAGACAGCGAAATATGACATCATGACTCGGGCACTATAACAAGCAGAAAGTCATGAGCTGCAGGGTTGGAAAAAAAGAGAGTGAAAAAAGAATTGAAAAAATGTAAGGGGGACAAACTTTGACTTGATAATGCCGGACCGAGTCGCGGGATCTAGAATAAACCTCCAGGCATGAATGGGCGAGATTAATGACCTGAAGATGAAAGGCTGTTACTCAAGGATGCGATGACGTTTCGACGTTAGTTCAAGTCAAGCATTGAATTGGTGCGTCATAGGAGTGGCGAAGGCTAGAATTGAGTGCGTAATACGGATAAAGGAGGCTACATGTTTTTGTTACCCACGGCTCGAGTCGGGAAGGGAATTGATGCGGATTCGGATTCGGGCTGAGACGGCAAAATGTAGCATGCCGCGATTCGGACAGGATGATAAGTGGGTGGCGTTGAAAGCATATAAGAGGGAGCACGCCCCCACCATGGATTCAGATGACCGGGAAGTTGTAGGTCTAGACGCCGCTGTAGAGCCGCCGGTCTGAAAGAAAAGAAATGAGTGAGATTAATGAAGGAAGAGAAGAGAAGAGAAGCGTAAAGCACCTACAAGCGCTTATTACCCCGGAGTCAGGGTTCAGATAACGTATAAGCCGGTGTCATTTTGGTCTGCGACGGTGAGGGAAGTTGGAACGTACTAGTTCATCCTGTGACGATCTCAGGTGGCATTGAAAAGCCCGGACTAGCCGTGGAAAGTAGACGTTCCTGCCGTCTCAGTCCGTTGACGTGAGTGCGTCGGTGTCTTTCGCATGTACGTACCCGGAATAAGAATAAATTTAGAGTCTTTACATGTGACACCAGCACCAGCCCAGCTGTACAGTTCCAAGGTGTGTTAGACGCGTAGTAGACTGTGGAGAGTTCTCTTCTTGAGGCAGTTGGCTGTTCTTCTGCTGTAAAATGAAAGAGTGGCAAAAAGAACCGCAGTGTCTATATCTAATCTACTTCCGCGGGCAGGCACAGGCCGGGCACGTGCCGCGTAGATAAGGAGCCGAGATCGCAAATGCCTTTTGCAACAAAACCGCCATGGGCCACAAGGCAATTGTTACCACGCAACACTGACTCGGTATATATACTACCATCCTTCCCTAGACTTATCTTTATTCTCCTTCACGCTCTCTTAATGACGGAATACGACTATTCGCCAGAAGCAGCCGAGCGCTACCAAGCGACCATGCGACGTATCTCGCGCTGGGTGGATGATGCCGAGGCCCATGCCTGCGAGTTCAAGTCCCCGTTCGAGCCACGGTCCGATATTGGGGATGACGAGGTTCGTACGCGGGATATTCATGTTCGTTCGCCTGCACCACCACCCGTCGTCGTCCGACAGCGTGTACCGCCACCGTTGTACGCCCCGGTGCCAGGGCCCATGCCGCCACACAGCCATGGACCTGCGCCGCCACCGCCTCGTCTCCAGCAAGTACCACTGCATGGTCCTGCTCCACCGCCTTCTCATTCACGGCGCACTCATTCTCCAAGTCGACATTCGTCAACGCATCATTCTAGACACCGCTCTAACCCGACGTACTACGTCTCTCCCTCACCTACACCACCCCCAGTGCCTTATTACCCACCAGGGTATCCGAATAATGGCCCGTATTATACGTCACCGTATAACAATCCACCACCGCAATATATCTACGCCCAGCCACCAGGACAATACGTGCTCGTCCCCCCAAAAGGCCGGTCGACGAAAGTCGTCGTGAGTTATCTCCCTTAGTCACTTTGCACGGTATCCGATGTTCAAGAATAGACTTCTGTCCAGCCAATTGTGTTTTCCACGTCCTCGTCGACCGATTCGGAGCCTCCTCATCAGACGGGCTCCTTCTTGCACAAGATGTTGCCATTGTCCCATGGTCATCGTGATGACCGTCAGCGGGAACACCGGCCGCAACAACATCATCATCATCATTCTCATCACCATCATCGACGTAGCTCATAACGTCCGTTTCTTATTGTTGTGTTTCTTTTTGTTCTTCGGTCTTCTTCTATCACGCGTCCGTGTCATCAATACTATATATATAATCCGGGACATTCCTATAGTATAGGTATCGATATATCTTATATGTAATGCGCGTTACTGGGTTGTTCATTATTCGAGACTCTAATCCCGATGTCGGGATGGGCAGGAGTTTGATGTCATTCCAGATCGTTGATTTGACACAACGGTGATTTGTATTTTATCAGGCGTCTCCGTTTTCCTCCGATGTAATCCATTCAACGGAGCAGAGTTGTTCAAGTGGTTGGAATGCTATTCATATTCGTACACAATCACACAGCGTAGTTGTACATAACATTGGTGGTACTAATGGAGGTTCATCAGACCCGCGTAGTTAATGCGGGGGAAGTGCGTACCACTTTTGATGAGTGGGGAAACAAGCTGCGAATAAATAGTCGGCCAGCGGTGGAATATAGAATGGTGTGATTTGGCGAGGCGGAAAGACCTGGAATAGAACCCTCGGTTTAATAGCTTGGATACCACCAGCAGAGATGCTCGACGAACCTTTTAGCGCCTCCTGCCCTCGCCTGTAGCGATGAGCACGATGGTCCAGATGCAGCGCGTTATCTCGGACATGGATCCTAAGAGGACATGGCGTGTCAGTCGGGGCGCTAACTATCGACGAAGGAATTACGAACTCGTAAATCGGAAAAGACAGGGTGGTATGCAAGAGGTATGGCTTCTTTTCAGAACTTTATATACCCATGGTATGGGAGGTCCTAGACACGACCGAGAGTCAATGGCCCGGGCGAGAGCCCAAAAGTTCTAGAGCTCGCTTTGGGATGGACGTACCATGGCATCTAGTCCAGAGTGGGGTGCGGAGGGGAATGGATAGAGTCTGGACTGGTGTTTCTTGGAAAGATATTAGATGTTGGATAAGAACTTGAGGTATTGGCCGGCTAGCTCAGTTGGTTAGAGCGTCGTGCTAATAATATGCAGAAGGCATGTGTTATGTTAACGCGAAGGTCTTGGGTTCGATCCCCACGTTGGCCATGATTTAATGTAAATCTTTTTCTTTGTCACAAATTTTGATGTCAGCTCCTGAAATCACAATTTGTTATATTAAGCCATGCGATTCAAGTCTTTCATGTGAGTGAAGTAGACCCAGATGCATTTTCCTCTGATCTGAAGATGTAAATAATTTCAGCTTTTTAAGTATGTTTAGTCTGCATACTATTAGCAGATTATCTTGGTTGATTAGCCTTGCATAGCAAGATTGGTTATCATGGATTTGTCTTAACATTTCTGTGTGTGAGATTTTTATAGCATACCAATTTGTATTCCTATATGATTCATACAACAATTTCTTTATGAAAAATTCCTATAGACTAAAGCAGGCTGACTCTCTCAGTTGGTTGGAGCTGTAAATATGAGTTCAATTCTCAAGTTGAATATATAGCAAAACAATTCCAGATGATGCATCTTTTTTGAGAGATCCTGAAGACAGATAGATTCTAAACTTTATTTCTGCATTAGTATAGATTTTACTTTCATATTTTTTTTGTCTAGATATTTGAACAATATTTCTCTGTGAATAGCACTTCTATAGAAATCTATGGAAGACCAACTCATTTGGATGTTTAATGTGAATAGGTTTGATCTCTGGCTTGGCAATAGTTGTGATGTGATCAACATGGAGTTTTCTTTTTCATACTGTACATACCAGAGCTGTGCATATGGAAAAAAGACATATTTATAGCAGGCTGACTCTCTTAATTTATCTATAACAATTTCTTCATGCAAAATCCCTACAGACTAAAGGAGGCTATCTCTTTCAGTCAGTTGAGGCTGTAAAAGTGAGTTCAATTCTCAGGTTGGCTATACAGTGAAACACTGCTAGATAATGCATCTTTTTTGAGAGATTCTGAAGGTAGAGATAGATTTTAAACTTTAGTCTCTGTATTAGTACAGATTCTACATTCATATTTTTCATCTGGGTATCTGTCAAATAATGATTAAACAGATAAGCAAAGAGATATTACAAGAAAGGAGATGTCTGATAGAGGCTTGAAATAAGCATCACACTAGAAGCCAGAGTATCATGATTCTAGCCCCAATTCTCACCAAATCATGAATCAGTTGATGCTTAATAAGTCTAATGCTTATAAATCCCAACACACAGTGCCTCTTAGACATGCAGAAACCTTGCCAACACTATTAGGAGACTGCACTCTGCTATGCTTTACTATTAGACACAGTCAACAGCTAGTAATAGCACTGGAACCACATGAAAGGACTGTGCACTATCATGAACCTCATCAGATTAGCAGCAGCACAAGAAAAACTCACTGCTATAACTATGTACTAGACAGGCAACAGCATGCCTGCTGCACTAAGAGAATATTGCTATTAGGATATGCTACAGACATGACAGAACTAAATCATATATGTCTGTAGGGCTAAGACTTTTCCATATCATATTTAAGCAAGTAGTGTACACTCTGTAACTCTAGTCTCAAGCTAAGGTTTAATACACTGACTAAACTATCAGGCTCTTAGTGTCTCATCTGTTCTAATAGACCCTGGACTAATATCCTCAAACTCTCTTATCTGCTTATATCTTTCTCCTACATACACTTCACTTTTTCTTCAGTTAGAGTTTGACTCTCATAGTGTCAGATCTAATATTTGTTGTTGTTTGATCATCATCTGACACAGAGATTTTAGTTGGTTGTATGAAACCTTAGCTCAAGACTAGGATCACAGAATGTAAACTACTGTTTTAAATACTGTTCAAGAAGGTCTTGATCCTATAGGTACACATAGTTCAGTTCAGTCATGTTTAAAGCATGTTCCAATAGATATATTCCTTTAGTGCAGCATGTATGCTGCTGCTTGTCTAGTATGTGGTTATTGCAGCAAGTATTCCTTATGCTGTGGCAAGTCTGATGATGACTATAATAATGCATAGTCCTTCCACATGGTCTCAGTATTATTAATGGCCATTGTCCATGCACCAATGAGTAAGATACAGCAAGGCCCAGTTTCTGATACCTTTGGTGGGGTTTCTACATAGCTGAGAGTGCTATATGTCAGGATTTGTAAGTATCAGGCTTTGCTTGATAAGATATCAGTTATGATTTGATGAAGATAGAGGCTAAAAATATGACAGCATCTTAACAATGTTTCTCCATCAATAGCAGTTGTGTGAAAAGCTATGAAAGGCCAACTTACTTGGGTGTTTAATGTTCAGCATTGTGAATAATAGATGGGTTCAATTCTCAGCTTAGCAATTAATGTGAAATGATAATGTGGACTTTTTTTAATATTTTTAGCATGCATATGCTAGAGCTGTAAATGTGGGAAAATGAGGTCTATATAGCAGGCTGACTCTCTTAGTACATCCACATTATTCAATATAGTCTTGAGTTTCTTTTTAAGATATATGTTCTTTAACCAATAACCTTTGTAATATGAAAGCTACTAGAAATAAAAGTCTGTCTCCAATTCCAATATCAGGCTGGCTCTCTCAGTTGTTCAGCATTGCAAAGATATATTCAATTTCTGTATTGGCAATTGAATGAGAAGAAGTGATACTTCTTTTCATATTTTTAGCTTGCATATATGTTCTGACAGAAGAACTGTGAATAGAATAAAGTGATCTGTTGTATAGCTAGCTAAGATCAGGTTGCCAGGCTCATTAGATATAAATTTTACCATTCTTAAACTGATGATATTTCTCTAACTAGTAGAGAGGAAACTATCAGACTGACTCCCTCAGTTGATTGATGCTACATAATAAGATGGGTTCAATTCCCAGGTTGGTCTGAGGCCATCATAGAAATGCAGAGTGCAGTTGAGTCTTTTTTGTTCAGAGCACTGATCTTATGACTGAAGCAGTTATTTTTAAAGCTTCTGAGTTTAAGCCAGTGAGTCATAGGATATGAACCTTTTTTCTTTGAAAGTGGAATAGAGTTTCACAGAAATGCTCCAGAGGTAGAGGCAATGTTTGATATAGTAATTTGCTATTACTTATCTTATCACCTGCTAAATCACATTCCTAGCATACGAATCTATTATATACAATATCTGTTCCTGGATTATTCATAGTATCACTGCATCTCATTGTCAAGATGGGCAGGAGTTTAATATCATTTCAGATTATTGATTTGATATGATAGTGATTTGCTTTTATCTGATTTTCTCTAATATAATCTATTCAATAGAGCAGAGTCATTCAAGTAGTTGAGATGCTATTTATAATTGTACACAAATATATTGTAATTATATATAACACTAGATATCAGTTTGATACTAATAGTATTTTTTCAGATCCATATAATTAATTTGGAGAAAAGAGATAGTATATACTACTTTTGATGAGTAGAGAAACAGGTTGTGAATGAATAAATAGTTAGCTAGCAGTGATGCCAAAAATAGTATGATTTTAGAAGAGAATGCAAGACAGAAAGATCTGAGACAGAACCTCTCAGTTTAATAGCTCAAATACTAAGATAATCAATGAACTTTTGGTACCTTCTGCTCTTCTCTGTAGCAATAAGCATAATAGGCTAGATGCTGCATATTATCTTGCATACAGATATTCAGAGTATGTAGCATGTCAGTCAGAGATGATGACTGTCAATCAGAGAATAGAAACTTATAATTAAAAAGAGAGAGGTATGAGTATACAGAAAGTATGACTCTGTAGGACTTTATATACCTATAGTAAGAGAGGTCCTAAGTACAGCTGATAGTCAATGGCTTGAGTAAGAATCCAAAAATTCTAGAGCCCCTATTGGAATGAATGTGCTATGGGATTCAGTTCAAAGTGGGATGTGGAGAGGAACAGATAGAGTCTGGACTGGTGTTTCTTTTAGAAAGATGTAGAGACATATAAACATGAACTGGCTACCTCAGTTGGTTAGAGTGTTATGGTGATTTGCATGTACACATGTTAATGTGAAGGTCTTGGGTTTGAACTCAGGCTCACTATTCTCACAGACAGTAGAATTTTTGTGTCAAATTTTTTTGTACTCCTTGAATTACTTTTTGTAAAATTAATGCCATGCTATTCAGGTTTTTGAACAGATGTGATTGAGTTTGTACAAATGTGTTTTCCTTATATGAAGATGTGAATAATTCGAGCCCTCTGGACATGTCTAGTCTCCATACCATTAGCAGACTATCTCAGTTGATTAGCCTTGCATAGTAAGATTGGTTATCATGCCTTTTTATTAATCTTTTTCTATGTGAGGTTGTCATAACGTACCAATTGTACTCCTACATAATGTGCACAATGATTTCTTCATGGAAAATCACTACTGAACGAAGCAGGCCAGTTGGTTACAGCTGGGAATATGAATTCAATCCTCAGGTTGGCCATACGTTGAAACACTGACGTTGTGGGCTTATGAATCTTTTTTTAGAGGTTAGGAGAACCTCGCGATTTCAATTTCCAAGCTCAGGGATGCAATAGCGCTGTGGAAAAGAAGTATTTAGGCCAATGTAGGATATCATTGTCAGACCATACACGTTTGTAAGAGGAAGACTTCTGGTGACAGCTAACCAATTTCCAGAGATCAATGTGGTCAGCATGGAAAGAGTCGAACTTATCGCTCTGGCCAGCGAGCTGACGAGCATTCTTATCGTTTTCTCAGACTGCTTCACAGGCGAGTATTTTATTTATCATTTCGCTTTATACCGGACCACGACTGCCACATTAAATATCGAATCCAAGTAGGAATCGGAAAATACTGGAAAGTCAAACGTGGCTTCGGTTTCTTTTTAAAACAGGTAGGGGGATTCAAAAAATGGTTTTCCATGCATTCTATGTCCGACCGGGCGATTGAACCCAACTTCGCGACGCTAATCAACAGAGAGAGACGTCGTCGGCCTTCTTTCTCCTGTCAATACATTCCCACGAATGGTGCCCGCCAGAGAAAAGTTGTTCATATCCTATGACTCGCTTGCTCGAACTCAGGAGCTTTGAAAAAAACTACTTCAGTCATAAAAATGGAGCTCTGAACGAAAAAAAGACTCGGTGTCAAAACTCAGAATGTCTCTGATTTTCTATGATGGCCCTAGGCCAACCTGGGGATTGAACCCATCTTACCAAGCAGCACTGATCAACTGAGGGAGTCGACCAGACGGTTTCTCCCCTCCGCCAGTCAGAGAGATATCACCAGTTAAAGGACATTATAATTTATATCTAACGAGGAGCCAGGCAATCTGATCTGGGCCGGCTATACTACAGACCTCTTTCCGTCAGGACGCGTGGGCAAGCTAAAAATATGAAAAGAAGCATCGCTTCTTCTCATTCAATTGCCAATACAGGGATCGAACCCGTCTTCGCAAGGCTAAGCAACTGAGAGAGTCGGCCTGATATTGAGACTCAAAGACTTGCGTTTTCTCCCGAGACTGTGAGTTTTGTTTACCAATTCGGCGCCGTGGAGGTTTTCAATTATTAGCTATCGGAATGTCTTCACATAATATAATAAATATTTAACCTGACAAGTACACTGTTCGGTGGTATAATATCCGCCGAGACGGATGATAAATAATAAACTGAACGAGGGTGGGGGGTACAAGATAAGAAACTTAAGCATAAGTTATATTCAAAGCTGGTCGGATGTGAGGGAATCGTAAATCGGGCAGAGTTGGTCCCAAGCGGCTGTTAGAGGTGGGGTTAGCGTGTATGTCTGTGGGTGAAGAGAGACCGCTCATACTTGGCGGGTCCATCGTTTCAACAGAGCTGATATCCTCGGCGAAGACGACCGCTAGACCGCTAAGGGGAAGTCAACATCAGCAATGGAATGGGAATGGCGAATGGCGAAACAGCTCACATCTCCAGATGCCAGTCGATATGGCTAGTGGTGCATGGTTAGCGGTTGTTGAATGTGAGGTAAAGAATATTTCACCAGTGCAAGAACCAAGGTCCGGCATTGTCAGTTGTGAAGCGGATAGTAACGTTGTCAGTGCCAGATCCTGTTGAGACGACGTCGCGACGGACCTAGAAAGCATAGTTAGTAACATATGGAGGACAGAATGCAAAATGCTGACGGGGTTCGCGTAGTTATACACTGTGCTTCCTGCACTCCGGACGACGTCAAAGGTGTGCTAGAAAAGGTGATTCATTCTCTATATCAGGATTTGTAGACTGGAAGCAAGTCACTTACACCGTGGAGATGGAAGGGGTGCTAGGAACTAACCGTCAGCCTGGAAATCATTCAGAATGAATACGAATACGCACAGGCCCACCAACCGCCAAAGCCGGAACGCTTATCTCAATAACTTTATTCGCCGGAAGCGTATACACGCTCCCAGAAGGTAGCAAGTTCTGCGCGGCGCTCGCCCCGCTCAAGATCTGTAAAAGCACCGGAGCCGTGGGCGGAGTGAAGGAGACGCCATTGACTGTGAAATCCAAATTGGTAGCGTCAAATGCGAGGGCAAGGTTGAGCGAGACGTCCGCCCCTCCAGCTTGAGGCAATCCTGGCGCACCGGGGTTCGCCAGGGGATGGAGATTCGTCTCAACGAGCGGTATGACGCTCGTCGTCTGGTTGCTTGTCGGGTCTACCCCTGACGCCGCCCCAACGTAATGCACAACGCCCGAGTTGATCCCCGCATCGAAACCCTGTGTACCGACGTTGGGGCTCGCGCGCATCCAGTAGTTGCCAATTTTCTGATTCGCGTTGAGGATGACGGAATACCGCTGCCCAGCGAAGATCTGGAGGGAGTCGACGACGAGGGGCTGGGTATTCACGCTGTCGGCTTCGATGATGGTGAGGTTGTGGCCGTCGATGGAGAATACCCAGTTGGGGTCGCAGGAGATGGAGATGAGGCGGAGGCGGTAGCGGAGCCCGCTGACGACGGTCAGTTGGAAAAGGTCCGAGGTGGGCTGATTTGATGGGTCAGTTGGGGGATTATGAAAGACATTGCGGAGGAACTTACGCCGCCCGCGTAACGTCCTTTACCTATTTTTGAAATTTGGAGATTAGGGTTGACGTGATGAGCTGTGTGGCTCTAAAACGTACCGTTGATCAGGGTGGCATCGAAGACGGGTACTAGGCCGGCTGCGAGGGCCGGAGTGTGGTACCTAATGTATTGCATCATGAGTACGTACTACCAGAATCGAGAGAAGGAAGTATTCACCAATCTGCGAGAGTGATAACTGTTGCTTCTGTATTTGACGTATATGAATATGAACGTTAGCAGCTAGGAAGGAAAGATCAAACCTGTATCAACGTCGTATCGAGATCGGTGAGGATCGCTGGGGTTGTAGACGACCATGGGTCCCCGTAGACCATCGCAGTATTGCGTAGCTGGGAGGGACATCGTATTCATCAACATGATAAAGGAAAAAGGGAGGGACGCACAGAGATGAGAGTGATACCAAAATGTTCCTGCCTGATCGGGGACTGTAAAGTCATATAAAAACGAGTGGTTCTATGAAACAATTAGGGTTTGAAGCTCGAAACGGAAGAAAAATCTGGCTCACAGCAGCGATGGGACACTGGTTAACAAAACTCGGTCTGATAAGGGGCAGTCAGATCGGATGGACACTAAACGACGAGGAGAGTATATATACTAACCCATCAGCCCAGGGGGTTCCTGTCTGGAAGATACCATGCCAATGCTATTAATACAGTCCGCATAAGAGAAGACCGAGAAAAAAAGTGACAGTCTCCTTACGATACTAGTGCTTCTTAACATCGTGTCGTCCGTCAATTGATCGATGACGTTGATCTCGAACCTGTTTCCCTGGAAGAAAACGAATGAGTGCAGAACAAATTTACACTGAGAAGATGAATACCATATTTCCTTTGACGAGCGGTCCGGGGAACGTCCCACCTGCGAGGACGGCGCTGAAATTGGGTAAGTGAAAGAAGGAGGAAAAGAGGGGGGTGAGAGCGGCACGTACCCTCTGGTGAAGCCATCAGGCGCGATATCCGCGTTGACGATCTGCATATTGGCGACGGGCCCGATAGAGGCGTACGTCCCAGAGATCAAAGCAACAACGGTGAAAAGAGCGGTGGGGATCATCGTTTGTTTGCTGATGGAAAGTGCAGGCTATCTATGCCTCTTTATACGTCGACAAATGTCTCACTCGTCCGACATCGCGGCTGCGTAATTGAATGTGATACGAGCGTCTGACAGTTCTAGGCTAACATCAGTGTAAAGTGCATGTCTTAGCAGTTACGAGAGACGCGTTCGTACCTTGAGTATATGAATAGAGCACCTAGGGACAAGAAGAAGCCTGATTGTAGGAGCCAACCATATTGTGCTGATGGCCAGCATTGGAACCTGAGGGAATTTGGATTAGAGATGATCAAGGAGGGGGAGCAATTTTCGTTACCTGATTCTTCACATATTTCAATCGTGGTAGAGTTAGATCCAGACAATGGCCGTTGGCTAGGCTGTAGAAAGCTCCTGGACGAGGATTCAAACCTCTTGCATTGATGCTTTCCTTACCCCTTGACCGTTGAACGCGTGAGAGTCGTGCCGCCGTGTGAGAAACCCCGGGGGATGAGTATTCATTTCATACCAAGTCACCAGTCATACCGGCGGTACAGGAACTGGTACCTAGAATTCCCTTCATGCACGTCAATGTATAGTCGATGTTGTTTGATGTCCTAACCCGACCTTCGCTGTGAACACACAACGACGGCTTATACCCGCCGCTGGTCTAAACACCCAGTACAGATGAAACGTAGGAAGTAGGGTGCTTCTGATGATATGGTACCAGCCCTACACATGATGCGGCCCCCGCAACTAAGCACAGTTAATCGTCAAAGGATCATCAATTAAATTGCCGAGATGTCTCGGTACTGAGATTTTCAAAGGTCAAATGCAACGGCAAAACATGCTCGGGGACTGAAAAGTGGCGTGCGACGTTGATGCGAACATCGTGGTTTAAATTTGAATCGGACTTGAATCGAATGTTGAATTAATTATCTTGTGCTGGAACAAGCGCTGAAGCGCTAAAGGTTCGTTTCAGGCTCGTGACAACCTCAGTCTACGAATTTTCCATTACCTTTCACTCTGTTCATCGAGTTGCGCTTGGTTCTGCTCTTGTTTACTTGTTCTGTTCGCGATTGCTCACCTTAATGCGACTCAAATTTGACTGAAATAGCTGGTCCACGTATCTGACTGTCGGGCTATGAAGTCTCATTTCAGGGCACGATTTGTTCTAAGAAAGATTACACGACACACATCCGATTGTCGTCCAAGGACGAAACCCCCGGGATCCAAAACTTAGCGTTGCCTCTCGGCCCATGTACACATGGTCTCGGACAAAACATCCAACGTTCGAATACGAATGACCGTTGAATAGGCGCTCAAAAACTTGGAAAAACGGATACATTTCTCGTCACGGGAATTACTAACTGGAATAGGCTAACCCTGTGCCCAGATCAAATTCTCCTATCACAGCCACCACTCCTCGTATTCCTCCTTCCTTCAACATGTACGCATCATTCGAGTTCTTTTAAGTTTCCAGAGCCCTAACCATTGCAGAAAATAGCTCATTGATTATCATCAATCATGTCAGACAAGGCTTCGAACGATACGGGAATACATTCCCTGCCTAACGAGATGCTCCTGAAGATATTAAAAACTACATCCGACCTTCCGCTCCCTTCTCCTAGCTCCCGACCCCACCTTCTCGCCCTCTGCGGCGTTAGTCGCCACTGGAGGAGTTTATGTTTCAGCGGCCCGGAGTTCTGGACCGTTATTGACATACCCTTTCACCAAGCGCGCATCCAGGATCCAATCGAATGGGCATCAGTCCGGCTTGAGCGGTCAAAAGCGTGCCTTTTCGATGTCTTCCTGGACATTACCTCCGCACAAGACGCGACAACCGGGGAATCTACGCGCCAGGTCCTGCAACTCGTGGCTAATCACATTGGTCGCCTCCGTCGGCTATCCGTATCTGCACCGTCACTTCGATGCCAAGGTATCGACTTTCTCTCCCCCCTTAAGCCTCTTTTGGCGCCGGCTCTCACAGATCTAGAGATTCTCCTCTATGATTACAGAAGATTCGCTTCCGAGCTCACGACGAACGGCAGGTACAATCTTTTCGCACAAGGTGTACCTCGGCTGTCGCACCAGCGGCTCCTTGGAACCAATCCCCTTTCCCCGCTTACACACCTGAGTTCGCTCGAAATCTATCGTGTGTCAATAACCCCATCCACATGTGAAATGCTCTTTTCAGACTGCCCAGCATTGAGGACGCTTGTTCTTCGAGGAGTGTGGCCATTAGATGAAGGAACCAGGCTCGACATGCTACCGCAAGTCGAAGCTCCGTCTCTCGTCTCTCTAACCTTTGGTCAGGTTCGTTCCCATGGCGCACACATCTCCATCTTGTCCATGTTTTCCTGTCCCAATCTCGAATTTCTCGAGTTCCGAGGCCCTGCCATGAGCATCCCTCCGTCCTTCGTCTCACGGCTTGCCAAGCTGCATACTCTTCGCTTCACGGAGTGTTCGATTGTCATCAGCTCCGTCAATGAACAGCGTATGGACTTCTCAGCGCTGCATACACTTCCCGCAGTAGCACACGTCCAGTTCTTTCACTCTGCTTGCGAGGATATTCTCCCCGTTGGAGACCCACTGCCTCAATTCAGACGTAGAAGCCTTTCTATTGGTTCACGGGCCATGGCAGTTCGTATTGGGGAAACTGGTAGGAATGTTGATAGGGACACGCTCTGTATCAGGAGACCCCCCCTCGTGGAACGAGCTAACCCTGGGACGTCGTCCGTGATCTGGGAAACTCTCCAAAGCGTGGTACTAGATTCCATACGCCCTATAGATGTTCTATGGTTGTGCAATCTAGTCCGAGATCGCCAAGGATCGATACATAGGGTCAATCTGTCCCATTCGGCAAAGCGACATCTGACGGGAAGCCTGATGGTGCAGGGACAGGATCCAGATGTCGTATTCCTCTTAGCGTCGAGGAAACACAGATTGGAGCCGGATAAAATGGCTATGGATAGATGGATGGCGAACCGTGTCCAGGTTCGGGAGATGGAAGACGTGGATCTGTTGGGCTACGTACCCTTGGACTTCGATGGATTGTAGATGTCACCGTATCCTAAACATGTCTCTTTGTATTCAGCCGCGTAAATGCTCCTTAACGTATTCAATCAGTTTATGCTGATAAAGAGGACCGCAGGCTTTACGCATGAGCAAAATATTCCGTGCAAGCAATCAAACTTGGCGTAACAAATGTGATAAGTGGCGGAATTGCCGTTGGAAACTGATTTCGCGCCGCATTGAATCTGGAAGTGATCTACAATCGAAGTCAATTGCCAGCAACCATGCTGCGAAATATAAAATTAGATTGTTTCTAAAAACAAGTGTCTAATCTTGCGTACATCCGCATTGTCTACCTTAACTTTGAATACTGCTGCACTCGATGCTATATAATTCCCCTGGTAGCGTCTTGCTTGTAATCTTACATTCAATACTCCAATGCCGATCAGTGTCGCTGTCACTTGACCTGCTCCATTCACACCCCCCACCTTCGAATACGACAGAAAGAGCCTACGATCACCGCCTGGATATCCTAAGGATACAAAATACCTTCTCCTCTATTGCATGGAAAAGTGCCGGTGGTCTCGTTGGTAGTAGGATGCGATCTACGGATCTCTCTTCTTCATGACCCCAGTATCGAATCTCAGGCCATCTCACATGCCGTCTTCGAGAGCACATGCAGTCACCTCGGCATTCGGGTGAGAGTAAGGATACTGTTTCACCATTGTTAATTGGTATTAAGACTATTATCATGCGCTTCGAAGGCGCGATATTGACTCTATAACTGCTCGTTTTGCAGCTAAAGATGTTCCTTTGGCTATGGACCTTGTCGAATTTTCACGCCGTACCATCGTCCATTCTGAGGAAGTTATTGTCCTAATTCTATACCCGCTCGTACGTGGACAGTGTTTCAGAACGGTGTCCTATAAGCAATACGAAGACTTTCGGACTAGTAGATAACAGCTGAGGAACTTGAAAGATTTGTGTGAACTTCAAGGTCCTGGAAAATGACACCCGCGCCAGGTGTGTTGCGGCGCGGGGGTGTTGATAATTTGTATTTATGGTTCTATAAATGACAATAAGGAACGAGTGATAGTCAATATCGGCAGCGTTCATAAAGGAGGCAACAGAGGAGGCAAAATGAATTCAAAAAACCAAGAGAAAAGCTTCATATTGATCGTCCATTCACTGGAGAAAAGGTAACATAATATAGAACATGTTTTGGACTTACCTAATACTTCAGGTTTTCAGGTTCGTCTTCAAATCGTTCACCTGGCCTCGGAAAAGGCAGGAAGCCAGACGCGTGCAAAGTCGAGCACTCTGGTCGGAAGATTCGGTCCACCATCCGCGATGACAAATGTTGACCGCCAACTTACCGCCAACATTCATCATCGTCGTCATGAATTCTCCCTGCCTCGTGCGTTCAGCTGACCATGAGGAATACATCTTGTCAGTTGACGCCGATTCTTTCCGTAGCACGCGTGTGTACGTCTGTTTCTTCCTAGGATGATACTTGGAGATGCAGTACGTGACTTTTTATATCTTTTGATTCATTTATCATTGTCTGTGATCAGTGTTGTACCTCTAGGTCAGGAGATTCTCTCACCATAAATACGAGGCGCGACAAAATGGTGACCTGTTCCATCAAAAACCCATGAAGTAGTGCTGTTCCAAGCTTGGATGCCGGGCGGTTGATATCCACAACTGATGTCGTGGTGCCTTTCGGCGGTAAGAAAGACTTTATTCGTGTTACTGGCACTGATCTCCTTTCCGGGGAGAGAGCACACCTTCTACCGAAGACCAAACATAGCAAGAATAGAGGTCGTTCTCTGAGTTTTTCCCTGGCGACCAGACATCCCGGTATCCAATTAGCTTGTATTATTATTTGCTCCAGCTAACAATCTCCTTTCCAGATAGACAGTCTCAAAATCATGTCTATGCTTTCATGTAATGAAGTAATGTTTATTTCACATGAACCGCAATACTCCATCTTGCTCGTCCGAAAGTGCGTCACTCCGCGAAAAGGTTTACCGCTTGCTACAGGTTAGAATTCTTACACCAGGCTGTTGTCGTGAAACGATCCTTACCCGATGCCAACTACGGTTATCCTGTGCCATACGATCGCAGCGCCAATTTGTGACCACTCCTTCCATAGGATTGAGCCTAACGTCTCTCAAAAAAGGCCCTTCATGCACTTTTCCAACGTGGGATCAATAAACCAGGAAACTGGCGACGTTCTGTGGATATTCTCTGCGTCTCCTCCATCTCACACATAACAGACATGACCGTTGCATTTTCCTGTCACGCTTCTAGCCTGTAGCAGATCTTTTCTTGACCTTGTCGGCGTTTTCTCCAACAGCCGCTACGGTAATGAACCACACCTTGTACACCCTATGTTTTCGTGCCACCCGCTACTGTCGACCAAAAATGAAAGACGAACACATATGCGAGTTTGTGGGCATGCTTTATCATGGGGACAACGAAGTATCCCTAACGTTGTGTTTCAGCGTGGCGAAAGCGTATGTTCCCCAACTTGCTCGTTTGTTGAGGCCACAATGTGTGTACAGTCAATCCGTGTTCCATCCTGACATGTTTTTCGGTCACAGATCATCCGGATGCTGACAGGGTTTTCAAGTTTCCATCACTCTGTCTTACAACGCTGAAGCGTGCAGGAGATCTTCATCTAGCGCCTACGCTCCGTGCCGCTCCACAATCACGTCATGCAACGTGCAAACAGGTCCTCTGCCTCATGTAACCTGTCGATTCGGTCCCCTCTGGTTAATGTTTGAGAGGTTACTTCTACCGACATGATTAATATCAGGCACCGTCCTACGCTTCTATTATTCCTTTTCATCCCTTTCATCCCGGGACGCCGGATTTAGTTCCGAAAATTTGTCTGACAGCGATAATATTATACCCCTCAAACTAGGACCCTTTAGAACTCATTGTACAGCGCCCATGGTATCACCATCGTCCAAGGGGCTTATATCATCAACTCTTCTCATATGTATGGTTGTCACCGTCGACAAGGCTTAAATATCAGCAAGATGAATGGCATCGAACAACTGTTCGCCCTGCAAAGATGTTCAAGTGCCTTGACTTCCTTCGTCGAATCTTCTGTTGCTTCAAGCGCGAGAAAGAGCCGAGGGAGGGCATTCGAAGATTGAAGACGACGCTTAGTCTTCTGCACAGCACACTTGGAGAAGTACCCGTACCTGGCCTAAAGGCTTTCCTCGGAATCAGTGTTGGCATCGTAAATCTCATGGAGGTAAGAGCTTTCTTTTCCTTTCCTGCCATAACTGATATCATATATTCAGAATGTGTCATCTAACCAACGCAATTTTCGGGACATCTATGATCTGATTCAGGAGATAGATAACCAGCTTACCGTACTGAAACAACATTACCCAATGCCAGAACAGTTGGCAGAGAGGCTTGCTTCAATCGCTAGGTATTTCCAAAAAAAAAATCTTTGCCGCTCGATCTGTGCCTCATTCTTCTCAGTCACATCGACGAGTTCGTGCCTAAACTTTAAGGACTACTCGATCGCGGGCTCTTAAAACGCGCTTGGACGGCACAGGATGACCCACTTCTTGTCGATCGTTTTTTCAGATGTATCAAACAGGATCTTGACTCTCTGACGGTAAGGTCCATTATCATAACCTAAAGTCGGCATCAATATAAATGTTGTTTATAGCGAGATGCGGTCATCATCGCGGCCGCTAATGCTTCCGTTAGTTATTCTCCGTATTGTTTTCCAGAAAACTGAATCACACCCCACATGTACAGAAAATAGTTGAAAATGGTAAGATTATCTCGCTGAGCAGTTCCGTTGTCGCTAATAAGCATTCTCAGAACTACTCGGAAAGCTTTTGTCGGGACGCACAGGAACGTCGTATTTTGGGTGGCACCTTCTTCTGTTCTCGTCGAGACGAGAACCGGAGGGATGTTCGTCGCATTATCCCGTCAATCGCCTATCAGCTCGCGGAATTCAATGAAATATATAAGCAGCAGTTGTTGAAGGCCATTAAAGGATGGAACGGGATGATTACCGCACGTCCTTGTGAGCAATGGCGGAGGTTGATCGTTTCGCCGTTAGAATTGATGGCGCCAGGTGCCGCTCCTGCCTTGATTGTAATCGATGGGATCGATGAATGTAGTAATAGAGACGGTCAGCATGCGCTTTGGACGTGTCTCTCGGGCCCCATACCGGGAAGCTTCAAAGTCCTGGTGACAGCTGTGCCTGACAGCCATGTATCCTTTGGCTTTACGTGGCATGCGCCCTTCTACAGTGTCGATCTCGACTCTCCCCGTCAATCAGTCGACTCTGACATCCACTTATACGTTCAAAATCGCCTTCAGAAGCTCTCCCCCTCTCAAATGCAATGGCCATCGACTGAAGATGTTTCACGCGTCGTAAAGCGCTCTCAGGGGCTATTCATTTACGCTGCTGAGGCATGTCGGCAGGTGGAGGCCGCAGGTTCTGCGGTAACCCACCTTTCTAACCTGTTGGTCAACATGAAGGACTTACCGGCCGGAATGGAACGCTTTTTCGGGAGGATTTTTACATCTGCAATTGGATCATTCAGCGATGAAAATACCGCATTATGTCGGTCCATATTGGGGATGCTCGCACTTCGGAAAGAGCGGAATCTTTCTTTATCGGATCTTTCTGCTCTGCTTGGTTATGATACAGCACATGTGAAGGGTTTACTCGTTGGTTTTCGTTCCATCCTGCGCGTACCTCAGGACGATACCGAACCTATCCATCTTTACCACCCTTCGCTTACCGAATTCCTGACGGCTCCTCAAGTATGGAGAACTCGCTGTGATTTGGATGGATGCGAAAACATTCAATGTCAAGATCATCCACGGATCGATTTCTCCCGTCTTTACATGCCGAAGGAACAGCGTCATCGTTGTATTGCGGACAAACTCTTGCATTACATGATCAGGCATCTATCCACTGATATAGGAATCGCACGGTACACAGTTGGAGCGGGTCGTATCATAGAAGCGCAACGGTCAGCTCCTAACGGAGCTCTCGAATATGCTTGCAAGCATTGGGCAGATCATCTCCTTTTGTCGGGCTCCAACAGGAGAGAAGATGTGAACCAATTAGCACTTTTGGTTACCAGTTTCTTGGAGACGAAGGGTGGTTCTTGGCTGGGGGAGACAGTCAATAATTCACGTGACTCTTTCCATGAGTCTTTGCGCGATCTTCAGAGCGCCGATGCATGGCAGGTACACATCTACATATTAGAGTAAGACTTCTGTCTCACGACTATTTTTTCCTTAGCGTCTGCATGCATCCGCATTTGCACCGGAGATTCAACAGCCTCTTCGGAGGCTCATCCAAGTTGGCATATCGAAACTCGAGATCGTCATCCATTCTAGAACCTCAGGGAGCACTGGTCCTGAAGAGACTGTCCTTCAGGATGTACAGCCTATAGTATCGCCTATTCTCCATCATGATGCCCACAGAGTCTCACCTCCTCATTTCTCCCCGACAAATCCCCGAGTTCAAATGCCGGTCCCTTCTATTTTAGGAAGAGAAATGGTGTCTCAATCGTATGACAGTCATACATTACGGCACTATCGTTCATGGCAGGAAGAGAACTCTCCTCGCGCGAGTAGTTGGCGGCGGTCACTCTTGATGAGGCCGTCGAGATCAGCCACTTTTGCCGACCAAATAACCTGACTCCTCGCGTTAGATAAATTCTATGCACTATTTACTTTTGTCATGGTTACGCGTAGCATATCTCATTGATTGAGTCAATTATTGATACTAACAAATCACGGAAGATCCTCGCAGCAATAGCACTTGGATGATCCCTGCTCTCTTTATCAAGTCTTTACACTAAGTCTACCTTTTGTCTTCCACAGGAAATCATTGCTGAACTAAAGATAATAAGTGATATGGTTCTATACATATATATTAACTACACGTATTAAAAAGTCTCCAATCGTGCCTTCTTCGGCAACACCACGTGCACAACATCTCGCTTGATCAAGTTCCTACACTCATTATCGACACCCCTCTTCCTCGCCAAAAGGTTCCTGAGAGAAGATGGTATCCTAAACTCCACAATTTAACCTCACCAACCTCTCCTTCTGTTATGGATATACCCCATCTGGACTTACTAAGTCTTCAGATGCCTAAGCAAGGACTCAAGTTTTCTTCCAACTTCTCCAATGTTCTGTCCTCTATATTTACTTACTTTAAATTAACAAAAATACATAGAATATTCCCGAAGCAGTGTACTACTAGAACATTCTTCGTAGATTTTCCCTAAGTATATAAACACTTGCTCTAGTTACAAAAATGACCATCTATCTTTTGACCTATCAATTACCTTGTGTGAACTAAGAATCTGAGTCAACTACGCTTAGCGCTCGTTGCGTCTGATCCTTCCCAGTTATGCTTAGGGCTTACTGGATCGATCGGTCTCTTCTCGACTACGCGCAGCGCTCGTCGACTCCTTCCACTCTCAATTCCTTTCAAGGTGAATGACCTCGTTTTAAATTGAATACTTGACTATGCATTACTGCTACGGAACTACAGTATTCATAACACCTTCCCCACCACAGCCAACCCAAACGCCTGTCGCACATTGTGCCAAGCCCGATCTTCCCCAGGTCAACATGCTCGAGAGCCATGGAGATTCGAATGGTGATGGAAAGAATAGTGGATAGGTTGGAGATCAACCAACTCAAGTAATCAGTGTGTTACCCAACTTTGAAGCCAACGACGATGGTCAAGTCTTCGATCGATTCGAGGTCGAGTGGCGGGACACTCAGTACGCAGGGCATTGGCTGTCACTGAGTTGAAGCACCTATCGTTCGGACGACGATGAGATATACCACCAATTGATTATAAAAGAGAGCTGATGTACCATTATCCACTGGTGCAATGTCCAAACTCCTGAACGTCTTCTTGACACGCGGAAGAAACTTCCCAATCCAGATAATACCCGTCTGGTTCGCACAAATGCCGTGGTGGTTATCGAACGGGGGAGGGAACAGCGACAATAGGGGCATGTTTGATTTTCGGGTCCCTGCAGACCGAGCTGTGACCGTAAGGTGCTCGATACGGGGAGGCTGCATTGTGATAGGTAATTGATGTAAGGTGTTACAGTGGTAGCGGTGGAAATGGAGTGATCTCAATCGAAGAAAGCAACGGACCACGAACGAGGAATTGTTGAGGCTGATAAAGTCGGGTTTATTAATTGTCAAGATCTGTATGGGGAGAGTGGCCAGGGCCTCGATGGCTTCACAATGCCCGAAATGATCAAAGACAAGACCGTTCATGAAGACACCTTTGATATTTCGCAGGTGATGCAGGACGCGAGTTGCATCAGGTTCTGTGAGGAAGACGGTGGAGAAGTGAAAGGTTTGGATGTACACTGGGATATGTAGGGAAGTGTCCCAGAAGTCGACGAGGTTCGCAAGCGCGGCGCTTTTCGGAACTGAGAAGGTGTGCAATAGGTAGAAGCGTGTGCGATGATAAAACGAGAGAGAGATGATGAAGCATTTTTCAACGTTTTGGTACCTTTCTTGATCAAGTCGATGATTTCGTCAATGATCTCGAATGGAAGAGCTCGGCCAGTCCCTACTGCTCCATTCATCGCGTGGAAGGACTGATTGAAATTCAAGTCAGAATTTTATGTTGATCGGCCAGTTGTAGGTATCACGTACCCAGCGACAACCGGAATTTGGAACACGAAGTTGAGCCACTGACCCCTCGCAATGAGATGAAAAAAATCCTTTCGAAACGGGCTTGACGGACGTGTATACGAAACTGTTGAATCAAACATAAATACGAGCTCGTACCAGACGGGCGAAATGGCAACTGAATGATGGAAGAGCAGAAGACACAGAACTTTGCGGCACTGCAAAGTATCTTTCCCCTCGGCCAGTAGATGGCCCTCTTCCTAAGCGCATCCTGAGGACTTAGTTTTAGGGTTGATGGAAGTGCATTGCGTCACGTCCTTGATTGGCTATTTATGGATACTCAGCATCGAGCGCTTAGTTGTCGGGTCACTGGTCATCATCCATTCCACAATGCTTCGGAAGTATCATTATGATGGGTACTATGAGATTTATGAGATACTTGTCTGATACTAGTACACCATTGACCGCGTTTTCGTCTGATCCTAGTTCCCAGACTAGAACAGAGAAGGCTTCCGCTCTCCGTCATCGACAGAAGACAAGTGGTTTGGAGGAGGAGAGGTGGAAGATATACTTCACATCTAAGTACTCTGCTCACAAGAAGAAAGATCCGAGAAATTCCAGATCAGAATTAGGATTTTGAAGACCAAATTCAACGTCGGAGTGATGCCAAAAGTCACGAAACTGAAAAATCGGCACAAATATTATCACCGGTTTTATCAACATTTGGTGCCTTCTTGGAAGTTTTCTTGGCCTTATGGAACCTCGAGGCAAGACACAGGGAGACAACCTTCTGCTAGTGAACACTTCTCCACCTGCACCCCTAAACAAATCTGGGCACCTGAAAGATTAGCACCTTGTCTGTTTGGAGCAGTACCAGGCAGCAAGCACTATGGCATTAGCACATGAACCATTCAAATACCTTTGAATGTCATCTATGCAAGAGACAATGGCCTTACCTTCAGTGGCACAAAAATTGCCTTTGTTCTTGTCATCAATGTGTATGACAAAGACCAAATGCCACTCACCCTCGGAAATATAAAGCCAGTCCACATCATTGCAATTTCCTCATCCTCTTTCTTCTCTATCTCACACATAGAGCTCAATAGTCATTGACTTCAAGCAGTTTTCACAGAACAACATTGCTCTGCAAGAACATGTGATTATTGGCCATTGGACCAGTCAGACCTCATATACTCTTTTGCAAGGCAACCATTTTCTGCCTCACACCCCAGAGAATATTGCTGCAGCAGACTTTGGCTTGTATCCTCACCTGCTGATTGCAGATCATGACTTCAGTTCATGTCAAGCTTCCTGTGCCTCTCTGCTTTCCAGAAACAGTACTTCATCCCCTGTGGACACTAGCTATGCCATGTCAACTCCTAGTGCACAACCCAACTCTGTATCTGAGCCCAGCCTGGTGCCTCTGCAGAATCCTCCTCCAGTGACAGCCACAGCACCACTGGAATCCTCACTTCTGCTCTTTATGTTTGCCCAAGTCCAGCAGATTATCTCACAACTTACACAACAAGCCACACCTGCATTGCCTGTGCAACCCCCCTCAGCCCCTGCTACAATTTCTCAGTTCATTCCTGCTGCAACATCTCCATGTAAGTCCTTTCTTGAATGCTTTCCCAAGTTAGAATGGGCCATTCTTCTTTCTGTCATCAAGCATGAAATGCATCTGTTTGAGATTGTGAAGCTTGACTTGTCTCTCTGCCTCAGAGCTGATGCAACAGGTGCCAATCCTGATGCCCCTCATCTTCTGCATAAAGATTTCTCTGACATCATCTCAGTTCTCTCCTGTCTCAGCACCTATTTCTGCATACTCACACAACATGCTGCTTTCTGTGGTCATCTGGATCATGGTCTCCAGATATTGGATGGTTCTCATTGCTATGCTAATCACTTGATCTTACTGTCATTGCAGTATGAGTGGAATGCCATCTTGTCATACTGCATTGAGTATCATCAGCATCAGCATCATGAGATGGAAAATAGTGACTTCACTGGCTGGGAACTGGCCAGCCAGGAATTGATTATGAATTACCTGGCTGCACATGTCCATGCACCCACCTCCTCATCATCTGACAGAAAAGCTGCCAAATCTAAGCAATCTGAGCAACATTGTTTTGCATGGAATGAGGGGAAGTGCTCTAGGGGTTTCTCCTGTGACCACAAACATATGTGCAAACATTGTGACTCTGCTGATCACCCAGAAAAAGATTGCACCAAAAAAAGAGGAAGAAGAAAGCCTGAGAAACTGGCAGAGGAAGAAGGACTTGCTTTCAATGTAGTGCTGCTCACTCCAGCCAGCAGCCACTTTTCTTAGTACCTTTGTCACCAGATAATTTATCTTTGGCTCCTCCTTTTATTCTTTTGCTCTCTCATATAGCATTGTTCCCTCCACCACATTCTCCTCCTCTTCATTCTAACACCAACCCATGCTGCAACAATCTTTCCCATCATTCTTCCTTGCCCTCTGTTTCTTATAAAGCATGGGAGCACTATTTACAGGATTACCCTGATTGTGCCTTTGTACATACCATCCTCCACATAGTTCAATATAGTGCTTCCATTGGGTTTGAAGGTGATGAGCATGTTCAACCTTGTTGCAACCTGTCCTCAGCATTTGAGTACCAGCAATTTGTCAATGGCTCACTTGGTGACCTGGCAGCCAGAGGTATGCTCTCCAGGCCTTTTTCATCTCCTCCTGTGGAGAACTTTCACTGTTCTCCACTTGGGGTTACTCATAAGTGCAAACCTGGAAAATTGCATATTATCAACCATCTTTCATGGCCTCACTCATCTTCTGTTAATGATGGCATTCCTGACTTGGAATCTCACATCTTCTATGATATGTTTGAGAAAGCAGCAAAGGACCTCATTCTCTCAGGGCCAGATTCCAAGATGTCAAAATTGGACATTAAAGACATATTTCATCAGATTCCTATTCAGACCTCAGACTGGCATTATCTTGGGATTTCTTGGGGCTGTGAATTTTATTTCTCACAGGTGCTTACCTTTGGGTTGAAGACTGCCCTGTATATATTTAACTTGTTGCAGAAGTGCTGCATTTCATATACCCACTGCTATACATCATTATTTGGATGATTTTCTCCAAATTTTCTCTCCACACACTCCAGATTCCATATCTACTGCAGCTGTGGAACAGATATTAGCTCTTGGTCATGAGCTTGGTCTTTCCTTCCAGAAATCCAAGACTGAATGACCCTCATGTGTCATTGAGTTTCTTGGCATCATTCTTGACTCTGCACACATGAAAGCTCACCTACCAGTTGACAAGCTCTCATGCCTTTGTGACCTCTTCCACACATGGCAAATCAAGAGCTCATGTACTCTCCATGAGCTGGATGAACTTACAGAGTATCTCCAATTCTGTTCACAGGTTATTCCTCACTCATGCCCATTTCTCTGTTGGCTACATAATTTTGTGTCTTCCTTTTCATCTAAGTTCTCCATCCAGCACATTCCATCAGGTGTTGTCTCTGATATCAACTGGTGGAGTGTATTCAGCTCGAGGTGGAATAGAGTCTGCCTGTTAAAAGAAGAGTGAGAGGTAGTTTCTGTTTTCACAGATGCTAGTGGTCAAAAAGGCCTGGGTGGCCATTTTGGTGATGAGTGGTTCTCTTCTCATTGCCCATGTCACCAAGGAGCTGTGACATCCAGTATAAGGAGCTGTATGCCCTCTTGCAGGCCATTTTGGGCTGGAGTGACTTATGGTCAGGAAAGACAGTCAATTTTCATTGTGATAATCAGGATGTTGTTAGCTGGCTCAATTCTGAGATGAGTCAGTCTTCACATAGCATGGCAGTCCTTCAGGTTATAGTAATGCTTGCATGTTGCTTGGATTTCTCTTTTTTCTCAATTTGGATTTCTACTGCTGAAAATGGCATTGCTGAGGCAGCATCTCATTTCCAGTACCATCAGATGTTTCAACTCACACCCAACCTTCAAAAGAAATCCTCTTCCGTGAAGTCCCATCTTCATTCTATGAAACACACTCTCACTACTCTTCATGCATTGCATTCTTTCTCTTCCATGGCCTTGCATCCAGCACTTGGAAAACATACTCCAGTGGACAGAAATCCTTTATTGACTTCCTCAGACTTCATCCCCAGTTCATAGACCCTCCAGGCCAATTCTTACCAGCAAGTATCACTGCAGTAATAGAATGGACAGCCTGGTTAGGCTCCAGAGGATTGATGCCAAAGACTATCAAATCATATATTAGAGCATTGCACTCACTTCATGTTGATGCAGAGCTTTCTTTTGATCAGTGCGAGTTCTTGTCTGTCCAGTGCCTCCTTTCGGGTATCAAGTGCTTCTATGGCAAGTGAGAGTGGAACTCCAAGATGTTGTTAGGCTCAAGCAACATGTGACAGACTGACATGTGATAAACTAACATGGCTTCATGTTCAAGCCTTCCATCAGAGTCCATGCAGCGACAGTCTAGGGTGTTTCAAGGCATAGAGAATAGCTCAAGAGTAGAATGAGAGTGTATAAACTTTAGCTCAAAGCTGGGTTGTAAACCAGTGAGGCAAGCTTCTTAAATACTGTACATAGTGTTCTAATAATATGACTACCTAATTGTGTGTTGTCGAGGTGGTTGTGCTCTTTGTCCTAGAACATCATGACCATTCATAAAAGCAATTGTGTGTTGTCAGGGTGAGCATCCTTTGTGATGACTAAGCTCTTCCCACCTTCTTGATGGTTTGTCCTTTCTGGGTTCTGACTAAGCATAAAAGAAGGAAAAAAAAGGAACTAGGGAAAGAAATTGTAACATTACCCTCTTCTTAAGACCATCATCCCAATAGCTCAATTTAGGGATAGTTCGTAGTCCTTGATCATGGTGTCGGCATTCATATATTTCTCATTGATCCATTCATTGGATTCTGGCCCATAACCCTTCCAACTGACGAGATAATCCACTGTTGTCATCATTCCCCCTCCTTTTGCCTTTATCTTTCATAATTTATGGTTGAGGACTTGGTTGATTTCATAATGTTCTTCATTGTCGATTAAGTCCAGTGGCAGGGGTGGTGGCTTTTCCTGATTTGGGAATGCCAGTGCGATATATGGTGTTAGCAGTGTCTCATTGAAGACATCATGGATCCTCCAGGTGCTGGGCAGTCATAGTCTGTAGGCGCTATTCCCGATTTTAGCAAGAATCGGAAATGGGCCAGTTCATTTGTCAGCCAGTTTATGTTTTGGCCAAGGGAGGTGTAGGTTGGTGGTGTCGAGCCAGACCTTGTCATTTATGGAGTATAAGCATGTGGGACAGCAGTGTTTGTCGTACTGAGTTTTTATAGTGGCCGCTGCTTTTTCAAGGGCAATTTTTGTTTCACTATGAATTTTATTCATAGTGGAGGCAAAATCAGTGGAGGCTGGTGTCATGGTGTGGAGTTGTTTGGTGTGGGTGACATTAGGGTGTCACCCATGGTTTATGAAGAACAGCGTCTTCCCAGTGGCAGAGTGAACTCGGTTGTTATGCTGGAATGCTGCCAATGCTAGCCATTCCACCCAATCGTCCTGTTGATAGTTGATGAACAGTCAAAGATACTTTTTGACCTCTTGATTGGCATGCTTGGTTTGTCCATCTGTCTGCAGATGATATGCCATTGAAGCATTTCGATGGATATGAAGCAGACAGTACAGGTCATCGAGAAATTTTGAAATGAACTGGGGTCCTTGGTCTGAAATAACGACTTGGGGCATCCCATGTTTAGCATAGACCTTGTCATGCAGGATTTTAGCCCATCCTTCAGAGGTAAGTTTGGTGGAGCATGCGACTGGAATGATCATTTTTGAGAAGCAATCAACTATGACAAGTATTATATCATAGCCGTTACAGTCAGGGAGACTGGTGATCATGTCAACTGTAATGTGGGTCCATGGAATAGTTGGTACCTCATTTGGGTGAAGTGGTGCAGCCCAGGGTTGGGTGGATGCCTTCCCCCTTTGGCACACTTTGCAGGCCTTGACATAATTGATGACGTCTACTCCTAATTTTGGCCACCAATATTCTCATAGGATTAATTCTTTGGTTTTGGCTATGCCTAGATGCCCAGTGGTGATGTGGTCGTGGCATGTTGCGATGATCTCCCCTCTCAGGGATGGGTCTCAGGGAATATAGATCTGTCTATCATATAGAATCAGGCCATCTTTTTTTGTCATCCCTCATTTGTGATTGAGTGATGGAGCTACCTGTTGATCCCATTTCCAGCTATCTCTTGTGGCACTTTTGATTCGTTCATGGATCTCTTCCTCTGTCAGCATGATCATGGCTCTGAAATGTTCAGGTCATAATAGGGTCACCCCTTGATTGTCTGCTCCCCCTTGGTCATGATCCGTGCGTCGACTAAGCAAGTCAGCCTTCTTGTTGGCGGTCCCTGCTTTATGGTGTAGGGTATATTGGTATTGACTGAGCTCGGTAACCCACCAAGCTTGTCATTGGTTCAGTTTCTGGGGTTGGCAGAAATACTGGAGATTCTGATGATCCATCCAGATCTCAAAAATTTCGACCACTCCAATTAAATAATGCCTCCATTCTTTGAGGGCGAGCATTATAGCGAGCAATTCCTTGTCGTAGATTTCATAATTCCTTTTGGTGATGGTGAGCGCCTTTGAAAGGAATGTGACAGGTCACCATCTTCCCTCTTGCTTCTGGGACAGTACTGCTCCAATTGCCCCTTCGCTAGAGTCTGCTTCGATGCAAAATTTTCCCTTCTGTGATGGGATAGCCAAGATGACATCAGCCGCCAGCCTCCTTTTTAGGTCCACAAAGGTGGCCTGTTGAGAATGTCCCCAGTTCCAGGGAGCATTTCCAGTGAGTTGGGTCATGGGTCACATGATCTTGCTATAGTCCTGGATGAATTGTCGATAAAAGTTAGTGAACCCGAGGAAGGATTGCAACTCTTTCTTCTTTCTTGGTTCAGGCCACTCTGTCACTCCTGTGACTTTGACAGGGTCCATCCTGATGCTTCCCTCGCTAATGATCACCTCTAGGTACTTGGTCTCAAGTACTTCAAACTCGCATTTTTCAGCCTTGAGGAAGAGTTTGTG